TCTCTCTCTCTCACTCACTCTCTCTCTACTCTCTCTCTCTCCCACTCTCTCCCTCTCTCTCCTCTCTCTCTCCCCTCTCTCTCTCTCCCTCTCTCTCCTCTCTCCCTCTCCTCTCTCTCTCTCTCTCTCTCTCTCTCTCTCTCTCATCCGTTGCCAGTTCGGCGTTGTGAGATTCCTTTTAGCTAATAAAGTTGTGGGACGAGTATAATATTATGTTCCTTTAACGAACAAATTAAAATCACCTTAAAAGGGACACAACCAGGAAATATTTTTAAAAAACCCTGCTAAACAAAGAACTACTTCCCTTGCGTAAAGACTGATCGTCTCCCTGGTCTCAACTTATGATTAACTTCTTTAAGGTTAAAGTTAAAATTTTTCCACCATTGCCCGCACAATAGTATAGTTTATTCAACGGTGTACTATCTTTCATTGAGCATTCGTGTCCAACAGGATAAGTTGGGTACGACAGAAAATGTCCGACTCAAGAGTTGGAGATATTTTATCCCAAATGATTTTCTTAGCTAACATAACTAACGCTTTATTGTAAGTTCCAAACGTTCGAGGTCTTATTATGTTTTTATTTTAAGTCTTTCTGTTCTTTGTGGTCATGCTTTTCTTGTAAGCATTAAGCTGTTGAATTAAAATTGATTTACGGATTCCACTTCTCTCAAATGTTGGGGGAGTGGGCCGTGATTCTTCTCTATGACCTAAATTGCATGTATGAATAACAATATTATAAATACGTTCGTATAACTCAAACTATGATTCTTTTTGTTGTAGCCTATAAAAATGTAGGCGACAAAGGAAGGAATATCTACGTAATAGATTAAACAAAGCAGGCCTTTAAGCAACATAAAATCCCCCATAAATGAGGGTTTGGGGAGGGGGGAGGGGCGGTGAGAGGGATGAGGACTAGAGGTTGGATAAAAATAGTAAAAGAGGAAGAAATTAACCAAAAAAACGGTAACAGCGTCTGCAGCAGTAGTAGGAAGATGTGCACCAGCGGGCTAAAGCGAGAGCGAAAAAAAGTTTAAAAAACAAACAAACCCATACACCCCCCAAGCCTGCTAAAGCACACTGCACAACAAGGAAAAGAGCAAAGTCGGAATGATGCTTATACGAAACTTCCTACTAAACATGGTCGTACTAGATCTAATAATGATAATAATGATGATCGTTATAATTTCATAGCTCAATTTACTGAGAAAGAGCTCAATGTGATTTACGAAAATACAAAACAACCCCCCCCCCCTCACAAAAAGCACAGAAGGAAAAAGACAAAGTAAACATGCTATAAGTATAAGACTTCCGGCTGAAAATAATCATACTACTAATGATAATAATGATCATAACTTTGATTATATAGCGCAATTTACTGAGAAAGTGCTCAATGTGATTTACAAACATTACAAAGAATAGGTGCATCATAAGATGGATCAGGTTAGTTTAAAAGTCAATTTAGACGTCTTGTTGCCAGTCACTGCATCCGTCAAACCTTAAAAAAGTCAAAGTAAGGGTGAGATAAAATAACAACAACAACAACAACAACAACAACAACAACAACAACAACAACAACAACAACAAGAAAGAACACCCCCAAGCCCCCCCACCCGAAAAAACAACAACAAACAAACAAACAAACAAACAAAAAAACGTCAGACGCAGTTCGTATTTGAACCCAAGCCTTGTATATTCCTGGTTCACCAACCAACTGAGTGAAATTACTCAGCCTTGACTAATGGCCAGTGACAGAGCGAGT